CGTGCTCTGATTCGATCCAAACTGGACTATGGGTCTTGGTTTATGGTTCTGCCGGAATTCGGCCCTGAAGATGCTGGATCCCATCCACCATCTGGAGCTTCGGCGCTGCACCGGTGCTTTTCGCACTTCACCTTCGTCGTTTGCAACTTTCTTTACAATATGCTACTAAGCTCCGATCCTTACCACGGCATCCCACTTGGGATTGTGTTTTTCTTCCTCGGTTGGCAATGCTCTTTCAGAACAGACGGTCTGGTATTCCTCCGTTTGGCCTTCATATCCGGGCACTACTAGCTGAATTGGATGACATTGCTGTCCCCAATGATCAGCTCATTCCACCATGGCTTATTACCATCCCATCCTGTAACCTTTCTCTGAGTCATCTGGGGAAGGCGGATACTCCCTATTGGAAGTACCGTCTTTTTGCTGAACATCTTTCGAGCCATTCTTCTCTTTCTATTTACATGGATGGTTCAAAATCAGGTGACTCTGTAGGTTCTGCCATGGTTTGCTGTGGCTCGGTAGTTGCTCACAGGATCCCTTCTACAGTTTCTGTGTTCACTGCCGAGTTATATGCTATTTCTCTTGCCCTGGATCATGTAGAAGCTCTGCAATACAGTAATTGTACTATTTACACAGATTTTATTAGCTCTCTACTGGCCCTGGAATCACTTAACATTGGTTCTCACCCTGTTCCTGTCGATATTCAACACTGATTGACCCACTTTTCTCTATCTTCAATTTCCATCCAGTTTTTCTGGATCCCTGGCCACGTCGGTATTCACGGGAACGAGCTCGCTGACATCGCAGCTAAGTCTGCCTGCTCTGGTGCCATCACAGCCGTGCCTGTCCCATACATGGACTACGGTCCTGTCTTACAGATGCGGCTTCGTGCCAGTTGGCAGTCGACTTGGGGTGAGCAACGCCATAACAAGCTTTTCCAGATCAAACCTTCTGTTGGTCTTTGGCCGTCTTGCTTCCGTAAGGATCGAAAGGAGGAAGTAGTCCTGGCAAGGTTACGCATTGGTCATAGTTTTTTAACCCATCGTTTTCTTTTATCAGGTATTGACCCACCTATGTGTAGCCATTGTGACACTCAAGTCACAATAGCCCACATTTTACTGTCCTGCCGTCGTTACGACCGTGAGAGGCGGCACCATTTTAGACACATTTTTTCTAAAAGTTTACCCCTGATGCTGGACAGTGTCATTGGTAATGGTGACACTGTCCGATTAGATTGTATTTTTAATTTTTTACACACTATACGTCTTTTTAGTTCTATATAAATCTTTTATCGACATATTTTGATTTTAACTCTCTGTATTTTTACATTTTACTTTAATTTACTTTCATTGTTTTTACCAGTTGTTTGGCGCAGATAGCCTCGCTGCTTTGCGCCATAAAGCACCAAACAACCAACCAACCAAACTTTCAGCTGCCAGTATTTTACAAAGGTGCACGTATTGTTGTCAAAGAGAGAGAAATACATTTATCAATTGATTGGTAACATGCATTACACTCTTTCAGGAGGGTAACTAACATTTTGAAGTTTTTAGTTGTTGTTTTAATGAAATTTTAAAGAATCTTCTTTTCCTTTTGCACCAAAATATTGTAATTGGAATTTTATGACAAACTTGTAACATATGTGCTATGAAGCACTGATTACATTTAGAGGCAAAATATGTAACTCTGAAACAAAATACTTTACTCTGTGATAATCCAGAAAAAGCAACCCCTCAGCGTAGTGGTCTCAGGGAACGAAGGAGAGCAGAGTCACCTGTGAACAAAGAACCTTTTCTTCAAGAACTGTGGGTTCCAGAAGAAGAATTAGAGTTGTGGGAAATAAAGCAGTTTGGAGAAAAGTGAGAATTTTATTTTAACAATTCTTTCAATGAGAGAGTGTGCCAGAATAAAATTAACACATTTTATGACAAGTTTTCAAATATAAGAGTAAAGTATTGTCAGGAAGTTTATTTACTATTAATAAAACTTATTATTTCAATGATTACTTTTAATTAAAAAGAAAAAAAAAAGTACTAAGAGCTGAAAGATATTGTAAAGATTGATCAGCTTTTAATACCATGCATTAAAATTTTATATTAACATCCTACATGAGTTGCATAGACCTAAAGTTCTAACTTACTTTGTAAGATAAGGATTAAATAAACATAATTTGTATTTTCGATGACGAGGAACCCACTTTGAGACTAATAATGGTTGGAGACGGCTTGAATGGGTAATGAAGAAAAACTTTAATATAAGTTTAACATAACAGCAAATGTACCTTTTACCTGATGATTACAAAATCTTGTCGAAACGTTGTACATTTGCTGTTATGTTAAACTTATATTAAAGTTTTTCTTCATTACCCATTCAAGCCGTCTCCAACCATTATCTATTTCTATGTCAGCCAGACCATCCGTCCATCCTGATTTATCTATACTTCTATCTGTCAGTAAGTCAGTCAGACCATCTGTTAAAGTAAGTTTATTTATCCATCCGTCTATCTAATTATTTATCTGTTTGTCTGTCTATTTGCACTAAAAATGCCACGTTTTTCTTCATTCCAGGTTGCTGCTTTAAGGAACTGACAAGTTGTCCTTGATTTATCTCACGCGAAAAAACATCGACATAAAACAAAAAATTATATTCTTTCATCAAAGAAATAAATAGACCAAAATCCGGAATAAGAAATAATCTTGAAACGTTTACAGACCAGAGATACGAAATAAAATGCTTATAGAAAGACCGAAACCACGTCATCTAAATTTTGTACAGGAAGTTGATGCAGAAGACCAGCGAAATCATTAGGAGAAACAACAATAGTATACGTTCAGGAGAACCCTGCGTACTCTGTTGACTTTGAGAACCTAGGAGAAACAACAATAGTATACGTTCAGGAGAACCCTGCGTACTCTGTTGACTTTGAGAACCTAGGAGAGACAACAACAGTATACGTTCAGGA